GGGCGATGGCTCACACCTATCATCTCAGCACTCTGGGAGGACGAGGTAGGTGGATCACCTGAGGTCAGGAGTTTGATACCACCCTGGCCAACATGGTGAAACACTCTCTCTATTAAAAATACAAAATTAGCTGGGCGTGGTGGCACATGCCTGTAATCTCAGCTACTAGGGAGGCTGAGGCAGGAGAATCGCTTGTACCCAGGAGGCGGAGGTTGCAGTGAGCCAGGATCATACCACTGCACTCCAGCCTGGGCAACAAGAGCGAAACTCCGTCTCAAAAAAAAAAAATTTCTCTGTAGCATGCAATGCCATTTGATAACACTTTATCCCTGTAGAATTTTTTTCAAAATTGGAGTTGATCTTCTCAAACCTTGCCAGTGCTTTATCAACTCAGTTTATGCAATATTGTAAATCCTTTGTTGCCATTTCAACAATATTCACAGCATCTTCACCAGGAGTAGTTTCCATCTCAAGAAACCATTTTCTTTGCTCATCCATAAGAAGCAACTTCTCATCTGTTCAAATTTTATCATGAGACTACAGCAATTCAGTCACATCTTTAGGCTTCACTTCTAATTCTAGTTGTCTTGGTTGGAGGTTAAAATATCAACATTCTGAATGGCATCTAAAATGGCAACTCTTTTTCAGAAAGTTTTCAATTTACTTTGCCCAAATCCATTAGAGGAATCTCCATCTATGGCAGCTACAGCCTTATGAAATATATTTCTTAAATAACAACACTTGAAATTTAAAGTTACTCCTTGATCCATGGTTTGCAGAGTGGATGTTGTGCTAGAAGGCATGAAAACAATAATCTCTTTGTATATCTTCATCAGAACTCTTGGATGAACAGGTATATTATCAATGAGCAGTCGGTCTGAAAGGAATCTTTTTTTCTGAGCAGGTCTCAACAGTGGGCTTAAAATAGTCATCTATGCTATAAACAGATGTGCTGTCATTCAGTGTATTAGTCAGGGTTCTCTAGAGGGACAGAATAGGATAGATGTATATATGAAGGGGAGTTTATTAAGAAGTATTGACTCACATTATCCCAAGGTGAAGTCCCTAGATAGGCTGTCTGCAAGCTGAGGAGCAAGGAAGCCAGTCTAAGTCCCAAAGCTTCGAAGCTACCACGCCCGACTAATTTTTGTATTTTTAGTAGAGACATGGTTTTGCCATGTTGGCCAGGCTGGTCTTAAACTCCTGACCTCAAGCAATCCACCCACCTTGACCTCCAAAGTGGTGGGATTACAGGAGTGAGCCATCACGCCTGGCTGAAAACTAAACATTTTAATCTAATGTGGTAACTCTGGATATCAGATTTTCCCCATTCCTCAGGGTTTCCTTTTTATTTTCATTTATTTCATTGTTTGGGCTGTGTCTGACCCAAGAATCAAAATGAGATATAAACTTTTATACTCAGGTCTTTTCTAATCCTTCACCTCCCCTCAGGATACATGGTGATTTTCTAGTTTCCCTTATACATGCAGTCTTCAATGTCTTGCTCCCAAAAGGGGTTAAAAGAGAAAAATGAAGGGGGAAAAAAAATCAAGCTGTGTGCAAATTGCTCACAGAAACGTGCACAGCTGCTGCCATAGGAATGAGGGGTGAGGAATGGGTAGTTACCACTGTTCTAAGAGTTGAAATTGACCAAAACTACAATTTATCATCTTCCCCTGGAAGTTGCAAGATTTCAATAGACACCAGATTCCAAAATAGTTACATCAGATAGATTCTGCCAATGCAGCTGCTGTCTAGGCTCAGAGACAGATTTCTGGTGCTTTCTACTCTGCCATTTTCTCTAAATTATCTCTCCATTCTTTTTTACAGTAGTTTTGGTCAGGGCATATGCTTTCTGAGAATAAAAACTATACATCCCAACCTCTTGCAGCTAGCTATGACCAGGTGGCCAAATTCTGGCTAATGAGCTGTAAGTGAAAGTAGAAATATACATTTTAAAAGTGTCCTTAAAGGGGTGCTTTTCTGCTATTCCAACTTTATGCTGAATGTGTAATAGGTGACTGGATTTTGGGCAGCCATTTTGGACTATGAAGAAGATACATGTTTATGCTGGAGAAACAAGAGGGAAGGAATCTGCGCTCCTGACATCACAGGGTGCCACACCAGTTCTGGACTAACTATAGTTAGGCTTCTTTTAAATGAGAAATATATTTCTAATTTGTTTAACCACTATTGTTTTGGTGATTTCTATTATAAACCATTGATCCTAATCCCAATTAAGGTGTTCAACTCATTTCCTGGCCCAGAAAGCAATTTTTTAAAAATCAAGAAGTAGCTTTGCTGTGACCTCTTTTCTTTTATGCACTCACTAAACAAAGGAGAGATGACATTATTAGACGTGAAGGCTCAATCAGGGAGGTATTTGTTATAGAAAACAGCATCAGTGATTGTCTTAGTCATTTGAGCTTCTATAACAAAATACCACAAACTGAGTGGCTTATAACAACAAATACGTATTTCTCATAGTTTTGGAGGCAACTTCACTGTGTCCTCACATGATGAAAAGACTGAAGAGGTCCATTGGAACTCTTTTATAAAGGCACCAATGCCATTCATGGGGGCTGCTCCTGCATTACCTAATCACCTCCCAAAGCCCCATCTCTTAATACTATCATCTAGAGGGTTTGGATTTCAACACACTAATTTGAGGGGGCACAAACACTCATAAGTGGTGATCCTGGGGTGATCCCAACTAAAGATGCCTCAACTTACGAGAAACCATAAAGTTATAACCAGAAGATGTCAAAGATTTGAAGTCTCAAGGAATTACTAAATTCTCAATAATGTCAGTATCTGAAAACAGATTTTCTTTTTTCTTTTGTTGTTTTTCGTGTGTGTGTGTATGTGTGTGTGTGTTTTGTTTTGTTGAGACAGTTTCTCTGTCGCTCAGGCTGGAGTGCAGTGGCATGATCTTGGATCACTGTAACCTCCACCTTCCAGGTTCAAGCAATTCTCATGCCTCAGCCTCCCAAGTAGCTGGGATTACAGGCGTGTACCACCACACCTGGCTAATTTTTGTATTTTCAGTAGAGATGGGGTTTCATCACCATGTTGGCCAGGCTGGTCTTGAACTTCTGACCTCAGGTGATCCACACACCTTGGCCTCCCAAAGTGCTGGGATTATAGGCATGAGCCACCGTCTTTTCCTGTTCTTAAAATTTCTAGTATAACTAAGATGATGTTATAGAAACTGAGCAAGTTTTTTTCTTCAAGACTATTAGCTTAAAATTGTTTATCCCATAAGGTCCAGCTTACTATGCTCCCAATTTAACTCTAAACTTATTAGGGCCTATAACATACAGTCCAGGAGGTTCAACAAGAAAACCTTTACAGCATAATGATTAAGAGCATAAGCACTGCAGTCAGACATATCTAGGCTGGAGTCTACCACTTTCAAACAGTGGAGCCCGGGGAACATTTTTTTTGCAGTGGCATGATCACAGCTCACTGTAACCTTGAATTCTTGAGGTCAAGTCATCTTCCTGCCTCAGCCTGCCAAGTAGCTAGGACTACAGGCATGCACCACCATGCCTGGCTTTTTAATTTTTTTGAGATGGGGCCTTGCTATGTTGCCCAGGCTGGTCTTGAACTCCTGGCCTCAAGTGATCTTCCTACCTTGCCATCCCAAAGTGCTAAGATGGCAAGTGTGAGCCACCACACCCCGGTGAGAAAATTATATAACCCTTCTAGGCCTCAGTTCCCTCACTGGAGAGAATGGATACAGATTTAATTATAATTTGCTTAGCACAGTGCCTGGCACATAAGGGTCACTCAGTAAATGTGAAGAGTCATAATAAGATTCCAGGGTCCGTAAGACTCCGTGTATTAAGAAGGGTCTCCAGAGACAATCTACCTTATCTCCTACAGTTGTCCAGGTTTTACCAGCTTGTGTATAACATGGAATCATACTAACATTCACCATGTTCTGCTGGCTCTTAAAACGTTCCAGTTAATACAGAAACTCTACCCCTGCCAATTTCCCTCCCCATGCATTGACATCTGCAAATTCTCCAGTAGTGTCACCAAAAACAAGTCCGTATCTTCCAATGGACATCCATATTCCTTTCTCTAGCTTCTTTGCTGATGTTTGTAGCTAAAAGCTCCACTGCCTTCTAAGATGCACTGAGATTCCTCTCCACTACCTTTACATTTTCCTTTAAATGTTTTCACCTTACTAAAAAGGTATTATGCTGCATGTAATTTTTAGGACTTTTTTCACCTTATGTGCTGCTAATATTCATGCATATTGTTTTATATCACTGAAGCTCATTTGTTTTGGTTACTATACAACATTATCCACTTTTCTGATGATGGGCACCTGGGTAGCTTCTAGGCTTCTGCTATTGTGAAAGGACTACAAAGTCTATTTGTGTTCATATTTTCTATTGTACATGTACATTTCTCCCAGCATATACCCAGGAGTGGTACTGCCAGATTGTAATGTGTGAATGTTACGTGTACTTCATGTATTTTTTCTAAGACAGTCTTGCTCTGTCACCCAGGCTGGAGTGCAGTAGCATGATCTCAGCTCACTGTAACCTCCACCTTCTGAGTTCAAGCAACTCTCCCGTATCAACCTCCCAAGTAGCTGGGACTACAGGTGCATGCCACCATGCCTAGCTAATTTTTGTATTTTTAGTAGAGATGGGCTTTTACCATATTGGTCAGGCTGGCCTTCAACTCCTGACCTCAGGTGATTCACCCCCCTCAGCCTCCCAAAGTGCTGGGGTTACAGGCATGTGCCACAGCGCCCAGCTATGTATTATAAGTTTTTCATATCTAATATTTTTGCTTCTTATGACTTCCTGTTTTCTACTTCATCTTCCCTTGTCTCTTTGAGAATATTTATGTTTATATTTTGCTCTGCTCATTCTGATTCAAAAATATGTTTATGTATGTATTTAAAGGCTTGGAATAACATATACACAATTACATACAGTGGTCATCTTTGAAGGATTGCAATCATGAAAAACCATCAGTTCAACTGTCCTAGAAAGCATTTCATTTTATTATGTAAAATGTACAAAGCCTTGATCAAAATAAAAATAGGGATGACTTATCAGAAACTGAAGAATTTCCTTAGGAAAGCAATGTTTACTAAAGGATAACTTCATTCCAGCCATGATGAGCATTTGCCTTCTTAGGCAATCCATGGCAAAGCTCCAGGGACAGTATAACTACACATCTCTCCCGCATATCCCTGAGCCTTGGTCCTGGATGAATGTGGTTAGAGGTTGTGGAAATAAAGAAAGAACCAAAATGAGAACACTCTCCATAAAAGCTAAGCTCAGACACTGGTCCTCTTTTCCTTAGGTATGGCAGGAGCAGGAAGGATCAACATTCTTGAAAGTATACCTTCTGTTCATTTGGCTTTTTTGGCTTGAGGTGCCACCGTGGAGCTAAGCACTCCACTACCCTTTCTCCATTCACAAATGTCTGCATAGGTACATGTCCGGCACTTCCAAGCCTCCTCCACGTCAACTCCCTGAGGCTCTCGGTGGCCCATCCAGTAGGCCATATAATGCTGCACCTTGCCTCTCACCTCCTTCTCTTCAAAGGCTACTATCTCTGTACCAAGCACAGTGGCAGTCTCTTGGTGGATATACTCAATCTTCAAGATATCAATAACTGGGAGGTCTGACAGTGTTAGAGACAAAAAGACTAGTTCCATGAGGTCACCCAAAGACTTCACAGAGAAGCCTCCCTGCTGGGCATGCCTCAGCACTGATGGCCCCAGTGGCTTTTCTGGACACAACTTTGTGTGGTGGATTAGGCTAGCAGGAGTCACTTTTCCTTGTACCATGGCATCAAAGATATATTTGTACAGGCTGACTTGAAAACAATCTTTCTTTTTCTGAGTGTTCAGAGGGAGCACAGGGTGCCTGCGTGTCTTGAGTTCAGCTAGTTCCAGCTCCCCCTTGGCTGTATAGTGCAGCTCATCAATCACTCCAACAAGAAGTACACCCTCCACTTCCCCAAACACTGGAAACTCTCTGATGTGCCCTTCTGACTGCAGGGTAGGAATCATCGAAAGTATGTTCAGAAACTTAATAGCCCAAGCATCTTCTTTAGTGGTGACCGGGACAGTCACAAGATCATGAAGTTCTAGTTCTCTAGCTAGGTGTATGCTGGCACCAGTGTCCAAAACAGCAGCTTTCTCAGGTGCCAAGAAACCCGGAAATTCCTTCCCATATGCTGTTTGCAGTTCACACCAGTTCTGAGAAGCCAGGTCAGTGACATATAAATATTTAAGCTGGAATCTCTCCATGGGTGATAAGATATCCAATCCTCTTTTCCAGTTTTGTAAGCTTATGGGTTTGTCATCCTTCCCAAGGGATTCCGAAGATGGGCCAGGCATGTTAACTAAAGCATTTGACTCTTGGGCATCTTCTAGGTCCAGAAACTCTAGGAACTCTGAGTCACTCAAGTCTGAGAACCCTGAGGCTTCTGCTGATACTGTTTCCTCTTCTGTCGCGTCTGCCATGGCACAGCTCTGGATTGAGCTAGAAGGGCCCTGCGTAACATGTTAAAGAAATGCACTGTCTAAATAAAAACTTTCTCAAAAGCACTTTCAAATTTCAGCGAGATAAAAACAAAATCCTGACAAATTATTTATTTACATTCTTTAAAGACAACAGTTTATTTATGACCAATTAGTAATGCCATAGAGATGTAGTACAGGATGTATTGTCATAGGGTTTCTTACATAATCCAAATATATCTGCTTGGCTGAATATTTTAAGTGGAAAAATAGTTTTATTCCTGGATCTTCCACTAACATACTGTGTGTAGCTTTAAGCAAATCACTTTTCTTGGCCTCAGTTTCTTCAGATTTAAAAGGAGATTTGAGGCCAGGCACAGCGGCTCATGCCTAAAATCCCAGCACTTTGGGAGGCCGAGGCGGGCAGATCACTTGAGGTTAGGAGTTCAAGACCAGCCTGGCCAACATGGTGAAACCACATCTCTCCTAAAAATACAAAATTAGCTGAGTATGATGGCGCATGCCTGTAATGCCAGCTATTCGGGAGGTTGAGGCAAAAGAATTGCTTGAACAGGGAGGTAGAGGTTGCAGTGAGCCAAGACTGCATCACTGCACTCCAGCCTGGGTGACAGAGCAAGACGCTGTCTGAAGAAAAGAAAAGAAACAAGGAGATTTGAGGTTTGCCTTTTCTGCTTCAAAATTCTATTGACTTGAAAGAGTATTTCATTATTTTAAGTGAATATAGATCTTTGTAAATGTAGGAGCAATGTTTGACAAGTTTATCATGGGCCATCTTCTACAATTCCCTTGATACAAAGACCTTGGCCAGGAAAATGAATCTCAATTACAGACTGTTCCTTGAGAAAAAGCAGCTATGCATTAACTTTTTTATTTTTTTTTAGATGGAGTCTCGCTCTGTCACCAGGTTGGAGTGCAGTGGTGTGATCTCGGACCACTGCAGCCTCCACCTCCCAGGTTCAAGTGATTCTCCTGCCTCAGCTTCCCGAGTAGCTGGGACTACAGGCATGTGCCACCATGCCCAGCTAATTTTTGTATTTTTAGTAGAGACGGGGTTTCACCATGTTGGCTAGGATGGTCTTGATCTCTTGACCTTGTGACCCACCTGCCATGGCCTCCCAAAGTGCTGGGATTACAGGCATGAGCCACCGCCCCTGGTGCATTAACTGTTTTTAAATGCAGTTCAAGGAACACAGTATGGCAAAATTCAAAGATCAACTATAGATAAATACAAATAAATACAGTCTAACACAAATTAATGCATAAAATAATAAGAGGATGTTACAGAGACACATGGAAATCAGTAGCTTGACTTCATAAATTATCCTCTTAATATTATAGAAACTGGTGTCTGTCACTAAACTGGTGTTTCCCATTAAGTTTATTTTCTCCCTCCACAAGAAACTAGCTTATAATGGAAAAAAAATCTGCCTATTAGAGCATTATTAAAAACTCAAAATTTACTGTTATAATAGAGAATATTTATCGTGCGGTTATTTATTGTGTGCCAGACACTGAGCCAAGTGTTTTACAGCAAATATCTCACTACCCTACTGTGGGATGGGTACTGTACTCTTTTTTCTCTTTCAGTTTTTCACTATAAAGATTTTTCAAGGCCAGATACAGTGGCTCAAACCTGTAATCCCAGCACTTTGGGAGGCTAAGGCAGGTGGATCACCTGAGGTCGGGAGTTCAAGACCAGCCTGGTCAGTATGGTGAAACCTCGTCTCTACTAAAAATACAAAAAATTAGCTGGGTGTAGTGGTGGGTGCCTGTAATCCCAGCTACTTGGGAGGCTGAGGCAGGAAAACTGCTTGAACCTGAGAGGTTGCAGTGAGCTGAGATAGCGCCACTGCACTCCAATCTGGGTGACAGAGTGAAGACTCCATCTCAAAAAAAAAAAAAAAAAAAAATTTCAAACATACAGAAAAGTAGAAAGAATAGAACAATGAACACCAATGTCCATATCATGTAGACGAACAGCTGTTAATATTTTGCTGTATTTGTTTCTCGTATGTGTACTTTTTTTTGGGGGGGTGAACTATTTTAAATTATAGACATCATAACACTTCAAAATCTAAATGTTTCAGCATATATTTCCAAATGACATTCTCCTTGATAACCACAATGTCATCCAAATGACATTCTCCTCATAACTACATTATCATATCTGACAAAATTAGTAATTCCTTAACATTCCAGTTCATATTTGAATTTCCCCAACTGTCCTAAAAACGTCCTAAATAGCTTTTCTTTAATCCAGGAAACAAAGACCACACATTATGTTTGATTGTTTTGTATTTCAAGTATTTTTAATCTTAAGAAACTAGCCAAACTATCTTAAGATACTTTTTTTTTCCCTACCCACCCTCTAAGATACTCCTTTTAAGCCTTCCTCCTAACCCCACATATCTAACCTGCATAAAGAGTAAACAAAACAAGATATTACTAGTCCACTAGTGTTTGACTTTGAGTGCCAGGAAAATAAATTTGACACAGAATTTAAGCTGACTGAAATAGCTATGAACCAAATGTCTTCTTCTTGCTATGCTAATAAGCAGTGAAATAAGGTGAATGCACCAACTTCTAAGTCAAAGGAAGAAGTGATGCCCTGAAAACATCATTAATATAGCTGTGGTTGTGTTTAACTGATTTTTAAATAGTCTAAATATCAATAATGAAAGAAAACATAGATAGCTAGAAGAAAAGTTATCTGCAATGGATACAAATAATACAATAGTAAGACTTTTGCTTATAGAGTATGCTACATAGTTATTGCTTTATTGAATATTTCAATAGTAAGAAAATACAGAAGCTATACATTTGCACAAGTGTTAGAAACTAAATGTGCTTTAAATGATGATTATTTCAAGAAACTTTATTTGAACTATGAAGTCTCTGAAAATTGGAAAGACTCTCTACCCTTCACCAAGAAACTAAAATTAAAGGGCATTTGTAACATATGCTATAAGGTTTCTGTGGAGGAGAGTGGGGACTCCAAGTCCAAATAAATTAACCTTAAAATAGTTTATTTCAGGCTGGGCACAGTGGCTCATGCTTGTAATCCCAGCACTTTGGGAGGCCGAGGGGGCAGATCACCTGAAGTCAGATGTTTAAGACCAGCCTGGCTAATACGGTGAAACCCCATATCTGCTAAAAATACAAAAAATTAGCCAGGTGTGGTTGCACGCGCCTGTAATCTCAGCTGCTTAGGAGGCTGAGGCAGGAGAATTGCTTGAACCCAGGAGGTGAAGGTTGCAGTGAGCTGAGATCATGCCATTGCACTCCAGCGTGGGCAACAAGAGTTAAACTCCGTCTAAAAAAAATTTTATTTCAAATATCTAGACCTGGCTGTCCAATACAGTAGCCACTAGTCATATGTGGCTACTTAAATTTAAATTAATTAAAATAAAACTCATTCCTCAGTTGCACTAGCCATATATTAAGTGCTTAGCAGCTACATGTGGCTAGTGGACACAGACAAAGCACAGATACAGAACATTTCCCTGATCACAGAAAGCTCAACTGAACAACACAGAGATAGACTATTTCCTGTGTACACATTAACTCCCCAAAGAGAGAGTAAGCTCCTGAAATGTATCGAGTTCCTACTTGTTTTACATACAACATTGATAACAGGTCGTCCTAAACAGAGAAGTGAAATGTCTTTTGGAGAAGATACAAAGCAGGGCATCCTCTGCGAAATTATTCATCTATAAGAATAAAACAATACACTAAGGATGAATAACTGACATTCAGATGTGTGGCTGGGACTTTCCTATGCAGAAAAGAATCCAGGAGAGAGCATAATGTAGTGCATTGTGTCTCAAAATGTAGTTTGTGTCTCTGACACGAGATAATTTTACATACTGCATGGACCAACATTTTTAAATATACCTTAGAATAACTATAATATTAGTGAGCAGCCATCAAATGCCTAATTTCACAGATATTATTTATTAGGACAAGTTTGAATTTAAAAAAAAATGTTTAAGTTAAAAAAAATATGAGAACAATACAGGTAGTACATAGGTCTGGCAAAATTGTTAGGTAGTAGGTGAATGGGATGTTGGGAAACACCAGCATAATGCCAAGAGTCTCAGAGTCCTATAGATCTGGATTCTAAACCTAATCCTGAGTAATTTGGTAGCATTTAGCAGGATGCTACTTGCCTTTTGAGTAAGCCTGGACAACGTTTTAGTTTTCCTGAAGTTACTGACACATCTTTAAAATAAGGCTGCACCTTCTAACCCTACTCAGTTAACCGACCATTGAGTGATAACATTTAATACACGTTAGCACTCGATAAAGATCTTCTTTTTCCCAAGGAAGAGATGAGAGTGTATCGACTCCCCCGACAAAGAAAATTAAACTTTAGAAGAGAAAATAACTCCTACTCACCTGTGACTTAGTTGATCTTCCTCCTCATAAGGAAGGCCAGAGGGCTGAAATGACAAGGCTAGGAAAGGGAAAGAAGTTTTGAAAGACGAGATCTGCATCAAAGAACCTAAATGAGCAACTTGGGTCCTTGCTATGGTAGAACTGGAACTTCTGGTCCTTTCTCACCTGACCATTCCCTCACGTTGGGTGTTTTCTCCTCTCAGATTCAAACTGCAGACTGTTAACCACCTCAAATCCTAGGTTACATAACGCTCACTCATGAGGCAAACTCTCCATGATTTCTTCGTTTTCTTTGCATTTTGGATACAGTTATTTCATCCAATCCCTGCTCCCTGCAAGTAAAAGGGTCAAACATAACCAAGGTCCCCGAGAGGCTCCGAGATTGGTTTCCTCTTCCAGCTCGTCTCAACCCTACAGCTCAGGCAAGAGATCTTAAGACAGCGGCTCTTCCTCTCTGATGGGTTCCAGCCGTCTGCGGAATTGCCAGCGGCAACATCCTGACTTGTTCAGTGCAGCCTGGATCTGTGCGCTCCGCGGGCATTTGCCTTCAGCGGAGACCTTTCTCTGGCCCTCAAGCACTGTCTCGCAGGGAGTGCCTTGCCTACCCTAAAGCATGCTGCGCACTTCCTACAGTCCTGGCAGAGCCAGCAATGAGGGCAGAGCCGTCCACCTCGGGAAGGAGTTCCAGCCGACCGCACGGCGTTCGGAGGGCGAAGGTCCAGAACGGAACCCAGCCTGTGAGGGGAGACGAGACGAAACGCTTCCCGGGGGCCGCTCCCACCAAGGAACGGGGACGCGGCGACCGCAGGGACCTAACCCTGGGCTCCGAAAGTCTCCCACTCCATTCTCTGGCCTTCCCCTAACCTCCTCCGAACGTCGGATTCCACCTGGTTTCACCGCGGCCTCGGAGCTGCCGGAGTCTCCCAACGAGGAGACTGAGGAAGCCGGGCAGAGCGCGCTGCCGAAGCGGACTAAAACGTCCGCCCGCCAGACGCAAAAAAGCCGCCCAGAGGCCAGTCAGTCCCACACTGCCCCGTCCCAGAGTGCCCCGCGGCTGCCCACGTACCGCCTTCCCAGAGGCCTTCGCGACGCCGCCAGTCTTGCGAGGAGGCGGCACGGGCGGAAGTCTGTCTCTGCGGGCGGGGGGAGGGTGCTGCTTATGTGAGGGCCGGTGAGGGCCGGTTTTGGGAGCTCGCTAAAGCCTGGCAGTCCCTCCGTTTGCGCCGCTGCCTGCGGGTCGTTTAATTCCGGGCGCGGCTGACCTGTAAGCTCCCTCTCTGGCGGGGACAGTCCGACCAAGGTCTGGGCCCCTAGCTGCCCCGGGTGAAGTGCCGCGTCTGCTTCGCTTAGCCTGCGGTGGATTCAGCGTCCCCACCATAGCACCTCCCACCGGCTTTTCTAGTGAGAGCCAAACCACGAACTCACTTTTCAGAGATGCTGGCACTCCCCTCATCCGTATTCTTTTTTTATGTGTTTGCTTACTTTTAACCTTTTACTGATAAAGATAACACAATTTTATTCTGAAATACAAAGCAAAGTGTAATTTTTATGAACAGATAAGTCATCATTAGAGCGAAGGAAGAATAGTGTCAGTCTCTTCGCAAATACACTTCCTGAGAAAACCACTAGCCCAACTTTTATGACACTTTGCTTTTCTTACTTTTTCCCCACCGAAAGCAGATACTTGATTCTTTGCTTTTCTTTACGGTTTATCACTTGAAAACTGGATTTATGGCAAAGGTGGCATCAGCCAGCCATGGAGAAAAGATGGTCCGTTCAATGAAGGTTCCATGACAATATGATATCCTTATGAAAAAAATATGAAACAGGACGTCTATCTCACTTCATCATAAAAATCAATTCCAGGTGTATTAAAGACCTAAATGTGAAATCTTAAGCTATAAAGCTTTTAGAATATAATACAGGAAAATATCTTTAGACTTCAGAATAGGTAAATATTTAAAAACAAAAATAGAAAAGCATTAACTTGGCCAGGCATGTTGTCTCACGCCTGTAATCCCAGCACTTTGGGAGGCCCAGGTAGGCGGATCACTTGAGGTCTGGAGTTGAGACCAGCCTGGCCAACATAGTGAAACCTCGTCTTTACTAAAATATAAAAATTAGCCAAGTGTGGTGGCAGGCACCTGTAATCTCAGCTACTTGGGAGGCTGAGGCAGGAGAATCACTTGAACCTGGAAGGCTGAGTTTGCAGTGAGCTGAGATCAGGCCATTGCACTCCAGCCTGGGTGACAGAATAAGACTGTCTCAAGAAACAAAAACACACACACAAAAGAAAAGCATTAAGACAACTACAGGCTGAGTGCGGTGGTTCACACCTGTAATCCTAGTACTTTGGGAGACTGAAGTAGGTGGATCCTTTGAGCTCAGTTTAGAAACCAACCGGGGCAACATGGTGAAAACTCGTCTCTACAAAAATACAAAAATTATTTGAGGTGGTCATGTGCCTCTGTAGTCCCAGCTATTCTGGTGTGTCAGTTGGGAAATTTTTGAAGTGACTTGTGTTTTAGATAATATTATCAATCAATTATAGATCTCCTGAGTGTCATAATGATTTTGTGGTTACGTAGGAAAATGTTCTTTTTCTTAGAAATATGGAAGTTGAGTGTATTAGTTGGTTCTTGTGCTGCTAATAAAGACATACCTGAGACTGGGTAATTTATAAAGGAAAGAGATTTAATTGACTCACAGCTCCACATGGCTGGGGAGGCCTCACAATCATGGCAGAAGGTGAAGGAGGAACAAAGTCACCTCTTACATGGTGGCAGGCAAGAGAGAGCATGTGCAGGGGAACACACCTTTGTAAAACCATCAGGTCAGCCGGGTGTGGTGGCTCATGCTACAAGCTCAGCACTTTGGGCGGCCAAGGCTGGTGGATCACCTAAAGTTAGGAGTTCAAGACTAGCCTGGCCAACAAAGTGAAACCCCATCTCTTCTAAAAATACAAAATATTAGCCAGGCATGGTGGTGGATGCCTATAATCTCAGCTACTCGGGAGGCTGAGGCAGGAGAATCACTTGAACCAGGGAGGTGGAGGTTGCAGTGAGCCAAGATCATGCCACTGCACTCCAGCTTAGGCAACAAGAGTGAAACTCTGTCTCAAAAACAAAAACAAAACAAAACCATCAGATCTTGTGAGACTTATTCACTATCACAAGAACAGCATGGGAAAGACCTGCCCCCATGATTCAATTATCTCCTACCAGGTGCCTCTCGTGATACATGGGAATTATAGGAGCTACAATTCAAGATGAGATTTGGGTAGGGACACATTCAAACCATATCATTGAGGAAGTGCTTTTTACTCCATTGAGACATGAGAAGGCATTTCTGGATTGAGGCTAAAAAAACTTTCTGCCTCTTCCCCAACATAACCTTTCTTACTTGAGATGTAAACTGAATGCTAGGAAAACCCCTCTCCAACCCATTCACACATGGACCGCTCTTCAAATGGAGTCTGAGGGGCAATGCCACTGGGCAGAGTGAAGCAGAAGAGGTTTAGGAACAGTCATGGAATTTGTGGGGAAAATAAATATCCAAAACATAGTACCATATTTCCCAAAGCTTTCACCCTAAAGACTGTTGGTTTCAAAACTGAGAAAAGAATGCTCTTTTCCCCAAAAGGCTATCCTAGGAAGTCTGAGTCCTTAAGGTCCACTTGTATGCAAAAGTCATTGATTTGGTTCTTCCATCTCGAGGTCTGTAACCATAAAAATACTGTCAGATACAAATGGTCCATTTTCCTCTGTGTCCATTCTTCTCTTCTTGGTTTTTTGGAGCACAGGATTGTACCCCTAACATTGTACTGACTACAGTCTACCATGCATCAGAGTAAGCCTTTACATGATTACTCCTAGAGCTGCGCTGTCCAGTACAGTAGCCACTGGTCACATGTGGCTCTTGAACACTTGAAATGTGGCTAGTCCAAAATGAAATGCTATAACTATAAAATATACAAACACTTTGAAGACTTAGTACAAAAAAAAATGTAAACTCATAATAATGTTTACATTGATTAAATGTTGAGATGATAATGTTTTAGATATCCTGGTGATATGGTTTGGCTCTGTGTTCCCACCCAAATCTCACCTTGAGTTTTAATAATCCCCATGTGTCATGGGAGAGACCCGGTGGTAGGTAATTGAGTCACGGGGAGTGAGTCCCATTATTGTGTAAGGAGTTCCCCTACACAAGCTTCTTGCATGCTGCCATGTGAGACATGCCTTTGCTCCTCCTTTGCCTTCCACCATGATTATGAGGACTTTCCAGCCATGTGCAATGGTGAGTCCATTAAACCTCTTTCCTTTATAAATTACCCAGTCTCAGGTATGTCTTTATTAGCAGCATGAGAACAGACTAATACAACTGGGTTAAATAAAACATTTTAAAATTAAGCTGGGTGTGGCGGCTCATGCCTGTAATCCCAGCACTTTGGGAGGCCAAGGTGGATGGATCACCTAAGATCGGGAGTTCAAGACCAGCCTGGCCAATATGGCAAAACACCGTCTCTACTGAAAATACAAAAATTAGCCGGGCATGCTGACATGTGCCTGTAGTCCTAGCTACTCAGGAGGCTGAGGCATGAGAATCACTTGAACGCAGGAGGCAGACGTTGCAGTGAGCCAAGACTGTGTCACTTCACTCCAGCCTGGGTGACAGAGTAAGACTCTGTCTCAAAAAAAAAAAAAATTAATTTTACTTGCTGTTTTTTGTTGTATTAATGTAGTTGCTAGAAAATGTATAATTACATATATGTTTGCATTTGTGTTTGGCTCACATTATATTTCTGTTGTGCATTGTCACTCCAGAATATCAGAGCCTTAAAGAAAATGTATCTTGCTCAAATTGTATTCCTCACAGGTGAGGAGCAATAATTGGCATACTCTTTATATGCTCAATAGAACTTCATTGACAATATTCTGTATTTGAGAATTTCCTCTTCTTTATATGACAATCAGCCTCTCTCTTGAGACAAATTCCAATTTCTGGTAATTGAAAGGGGCATTTTTAGTCAGAGAAAGCAAGAGGAGGTAGGCCTAGACTAGGAAGTTGTGGGGAGTGAGAATGAGGTAAGGATCAAAGACTGGGGCATGCTTCTGCTAAAAGAAGGCAGCTTGGGATATGGTGCATTATGAACACTTGAGTCAAGGGGTTTTCTCTTTCCATTTCTTGGATCTGTTTCTCCTACGTTTGCTCCATATCCAGGCAGCCTTCCTCCTCTTCCACAGCTAGCAGCTTCCAAGACTATGAAAGCCTTCCAGATTTGTGTCTATTGAGGGGAAAAAAGGAAGTCTGTTTCCCTAATAGCTGAAACATGTTCTGATTGGTAAACTGGGGTTAAACTGTATGCCTGTCTTAGCCAGAGTCTTCTAGAAAACAGAGCCTGAGGCAAGGATTAAGAGTACCTTTTTTTTTTTTTTTTTTTTTTTTTTTTTTTTAAATTTGGAAGATGTTAAGCACATGGTGGCAAGGTAAGAA